TTCTGGCTCCCTCTTATGGCCGATTGAGGAAAACAGCAACCAATCACATTTTACAGTATGATTTAAAGTAACAGGTATAGCACTGCTATATGATTTATAGATTGCCAACCCAACCGTTAGATTATATTCCTAACAACCCGGATGCTGCAACTGTCATAAATACACACTGCCAAGGGCCCAAGTTTTGATCACATGACCATGGGGACTCTTATATCTACCCTGGGCTACACACAGGTCCAATAACCATTCAGCAGTTGTAATCCTCAGATTTGGAGACGGTCAGGGTAGGCAAGAGGCTCTGGGATACAGCTACGTTTGGGGGTGGCACTTCTTATACTTTCTATATACAGGTAGTCCTCGACTTACAACAATTCTCTTAGCGACCGCTCAAACTTACAATGGCACCGAAAATAGTGACTGACAACCATTTTTTTCCACACTTACAACCTTTGTAGCTGCCAATTGCTTGGCAATCGGTTCATACTTATGCCCATTGCTGCATCCCAAGATCATGTGGTCGCCTTTTGCAAACCTTTGACAAACAAAATCAAGGGGGAAGCCAGATTCACTTAAGAAACATATTTACCTTAACTGCAGTGATTCACTTAACAACCGTGGCAAGAAACATCATAAAATGGGGCAAAACTCACTGAACAAATGTCTTGACAGCCACAGAAATTTTGGGCCCCATTGCATTGCGGTTGTAAATCGAGGACCGCCATGTAATACAAATCCAGATATTGGATTCTCGATCCTGGGTGAATCTATCCCATCTCCTTAGAAAACCATCTAAGTGAACAACTTAGTTAACAGCAGTCCCTACATCTAGTGGAAGTGAGTTCCACAGGACACTTTTGCACCGGAGAAAGCCACCAGCTTGCAGATAACCCTGCCAATGTGATCTCTACTTTACCTTATTCTGTTTTGCAAGCAGCCTCGGAGGCAGAAGAAGCTGGAGAATTTCGTTCCTGCTCCCATTCTCGTATCCAGCGACACAAATGCCTGGGGAGAAAATCACAATCAGTTTTGGCATTGCAAACAGGCGAACAGCCACAGGTAATCCTCAACTTACAACCATTCATTGAGCAATCATTCGAAGGTTGCTCCGACCCTCTGGAACGAGCTCCTCGTGGGGATTCGAACCCTCACCACCCTCCAGGCCTTCCACAAAGCCCTTAAAACCT